TAAGTGATCCCTCTAGTCAACAAGACCAAAATTCTGAAACAGCAAGATAATTTTGTAGTCTTTTGGATGCATTTTTGGGAGGATTATAGAGAAAATAGTAAGGGCAAGTAGAGTTTGAGAAAAGCTGTACATTTCTAATTGGGTTAATAAAAGGAGCAAATTAATCCTGTTCTGTGAAAAGGGCAGGTCTGTAGTGTGAGTGCTGCTCTCTCAAATAGACTTCATTTTGGCTGAAAGAGACAGCAGTGTAGTTGTATTCTATAACATTTTCTTTAACAAGGAAAGAAATAATAGTATTTATGCTGATAGAAGAAGTAAGTGTTGGAGTTGCAGTACACTTTGGGCATATTATTCCTTTTCATCCAAGTGTGATACATTAATTCAGAAGGTCAAAGTAGCTACTTCGAATAGGTTTGTTGGGGTTTTTTTAATTTAGCTTTGAAGATGTGGAAAAAACCAATAACTGCCCTTTTGATGATTATTCCAGCATACTTACATTCCCCAAGGACCTTTTTAGCATTCCTTTAATTTAAAAAAAAAACAAAAAAAACAACCAAACAAAAAAAACACAACAACAAAAACTAGTTATGCTATTATAATGTCAAATTTTGTTTCTGTGCCTTTGTGTCTATTTTATTGTCTTTACTGACATGTTTTTCTTAAATCAATCTGTAGTTAATTCGACAGTATTACAGTCAGGTGAAGCAGAAGGGCTGTACTCGTTCATATCCTATTTTCTTTTTGAATATTACTGTACCTGCCTCTGCTGTGGATGTGAATGTAACACCTGATAAAACTCAAGTTTTACTGCATTATAAGGTAACTACGATTTTAATCTGCTTTTCAGTTATCAACCTTTTATTTACGTATGCGTGATAAGGGCTTCTGGTACTACTGAAATGTGTAAAAGTAAACAGTGTCACTGAATTTATATTTTTTTTCTTCATGCAAGCATAGCTTGCCTCTATTGTGGGGCTGTCTTGTTTGAAAAGTATTGAACAGGCTAAGTGGAGGATTATTCAAAATAATTTCTCACTTGATTTCAAATATCACTTTCACCGTGTCAGATGTGTGTGTGTTGCTTTGTTTTCAAATGAGGGAAGCTAAATGGAATTCCCTACATGAATTTGACGCTTAAATTAATTATTGTACTAAGTAATCAGTTTTTAAATGTAACGTATGTGAAGGTGGGGACGGGGGGAGTTAATTTCTGGTCAAAGCAATATTTTGCCATTATGTATACAGATTATTGTTGACATTGCATAAGTTTCAAGATATCCTGTTTATAGTCCCAAGACCTGAAATTTAGACCATATATGCCCATGTTTTAGAGGCTGTATAGAGATAAATTTCCATAAACTCGCTTCACTTCGTTAAAAAATGCCACAGAAAATTAAGAAGGCTACATAGGTAAAGTGGTTATTTGAAGGGAATGTAGGCAGTAGCATGAGTGTATTAATTCTCTTCCTCACTGGAAGTTTTATTTATCTGTGTTAATTTTGTAAAAGGTACTGCCTGTTAAGTGTCATTTGTATGAAAATTAACCCAGTATTCTCACATTTAGTCTAGTTTAAAACTTTCCTCTGGTTGTATTTTATTTTGTGGGTTGTTGGTTTTTCTTTTTCATTTCCATCATTTGACACAAAGCTGTCTTGGAAACATGCACTATAAAAGCACCTGCACAAACATGCTTACATGAAATAGGATGTTGTTGGTGCATTTGTCTATAAGCTTCTAACTCCATATTAGGTGGGAATAGCTTTACCTGATACTGGTTTAAGCAGTCAGTACCCTGTTACAAAGAAAGCAGTTAATCTATTCTCTGTTATCAAAGTAAACCAGTGAACCACCACAAAATACTTGAGGCTAAGGGTGTCCAGTTCAGAGTCTCTTTGAGCATGCATTAACTGAAATGCAAGAATCTGTCCAGGTTTGTATGAAAAATATTCTGAATAAGATCAGTTTGCTTATTGTTCTATATTCTAGGTATCTCAGTAATGTTTTCAGGTGTGCTTGTCTGTGTGAGTTTTCTGGTTTGATTTTTTTTTTTTTTTCTCCTTCACCCCCCAGGAATCTGTCTTACTTGCTATTGAAAATGTGTTGAAATCTGTGTATGGGCCACTACCTGCTACAGTCTCTGGTGAAAGTAATAAAACAGATGTTACCTCAGAAAACATGTTTGTTTATAGAACAGAACAAACAGATGTGGTTGTTAATGAAATGGGGCCATCTGGAAATGATGATCTACATGCTCATACTTCATTCCTGTCACTCAGCAGTGATGTGCAAAACTGTCAAGGAGGAAAAAACACAGAAATCTGCTTAAATCATCAGAAGTTTTGTGGTGATAATGTACATAGTGGCCTGGACATAAAAAAGGTTTCTCACAGTGATGCCCTTCCAGATAGTTCTTCATTGTGTGAGGAGGAACAGAATGGACAGAATATGACCAATATTCAAAGTAACAGTGTTCCTGTGAGCCCCAAGTCTAAAAAAGCTGATGAGCATCTTTTGAGTTCTCATAATACTGATGAAAAAGAAAAAAATGAAGAAGCTGTAGTCCCTAGAGACTTACCTGAAATCTCTGCTGATAATTGGAGTATGGGAAGTGGATATACAAACCGTCTAGGAATCAAGGTGAAACCTGTTAAGTTTTTGATTCCTGAAGTTGGAGGAACAATTAATAAGCAAAATAAACCTCCTGGTAAACAAAGCAATGAGCCACAAATTTCAAATCAAAGTAAAAAGAGAAGAAATATTATAAGTGAGAAATTCGGACGAGTGACAGCTTATGACTTAATTAATGGTAAAACAATAAAGAAAGCAAAGACTGCAATGGAATTTTACACTCACGAACATCGTCCAAAATTGATAGCTGATAATCCAAGGAAAAGCATGACAGACATCCTGCTGATGATTGAAGAGCAGTGGAAGAATTTGAAAGAAGAGGAAAAAAAGTAGTAAGTTTTCAGGCCGTCTTGCTTCTGAATCTGGCATTTACCACCAAGCTGCCTGTAGTGAATTTAAAAAAAAAATTGTAACTTCCCAGTTACCCATGGAAAAATAGAACAGAAAATCATTGTTAGCTTTTCAAGATCAGCATTGATATTATGAGTTGTCATCTTCTGCTGTGTGCATATGTACACAGATGATTTGAGTTGCTCGTTGTGCCAATGTGCCACACAGCAATTGGCTTAGGGACAGTTTTGCTGAATTATTTAGAGATACCAGGCAAGAAAACCTACTGTTTGAATCCTGTGAACTTCTGTTTTCTAAGGGCTGCATGTGTGTTGTCACTCCTGATGCACTGTCAATGAAAACAAGCATGGTGATGGATGAGGCACCATATAGTGCCTCCAGAGCTTCTTTCCAAAAAAACAGTTTGTGTTTTATTGCTACAAAGTGAGAATTTTTTTTTCAGGATCTTTAGTACTCGCATGTTTAGTACACTCCTTTCCTCTAAATTTAGTACATATCCCAACCCAGGCTACTTCAGAATTGCATTTATAAAACCCAATCAAATCACAATAGGATTTTTTTTTTCCCTAAACAGTTACTCCATTGCTGGTTCAGAGTGCATAGTACAGTTTGAATTTTAACCTCTAACAATCTAAAGCAAATGTATTTTTAGATTACAATTTGAATAGCTAAATTCTGTATTTTTCTAAAACTACCTGTCACTGAGTTTTTGAAATCCATCTGCAAGTAAGGGAAATATTTTAGCCTAATTTGGGACATGGGTTGGATTAGTTAAAATAGTAGGTATATGTTATCTTTTATGTGGAACTTGTGTTATGGGAAAAGAGTAATTAAAATAACAGAGTTTGAGACAATTTAAAGGCAGTTTAGAAGAAAAAAAAGCACCATACCTTTCACATTTTGTTTGTAATTTTATAAAATGTATATCACTGTAGGACATCACACCAATGAGTAAAATAGAAGATAGTTCTTCAGTAGTTTTCCATGTAATGATTTGAATGCAGCAAAAGCTTGGGAAGTGAAATTTTGGTTCTGAAGAACAAACTCATTGGAAGTGTTGTGAACATTTTTTTTACTTCACAGAAGCAAGGAGAGGTACTAGCACTGGAAAGGAAATTATATTAGCCAAAATTGTGTAATTTTAACACTAATGAGACATTGATTTAGGAGAAAGGTAAGAAAGAGAATACATACATAGTGAATTGCTGTTAACATATCTGGGTTTTCCTTGGAAAACATCTGCATTGTTCTGAATAGCAGCTATATCAGAGTTAAGTAAAACCTTTTTATCTAGCTTCTGATTTAGCTAATTTAAAGCTCACTAAGCAAGCAATATGCCATGATCACAAAACCATATATGTGACAAAGTGTTTTGACCATAACTGTGTTAGCAGAACTATTAATGTGTTAGTAGAAATCTACTCTAACTATATCCCTGCTTTTTATGAAATGAAACAAAAGGTTCTGCCAGCTGTTTCAGAAAAATTTAATTTGCTCTGCTTTAGCTTTTGAGATTTCATGGTTGCTTTCCTGGTACAACTGTTATGTTTAAGAGTGTGCCTACAGATTAGCTTTTTATTAGTTCAGGAAGGAGAGGTTTTCCTTATATGTAGGAATGACTGCAGGATGGTCCAATGGATGTTGAAATGAATGAAAAATGTACCAGTAGTGGTATCCATACATTTCAGCTTTGGTGGACCTCTCTTCTGCTTTTTATCTTTTGAAATTGTCTCAGAAAATAACAAATAGGAAGAGATACACAGTCATCTTTTCCACCAAGGCAGCAATCCAGAAGAACTGTTCTACGTCTTGGCAGAGAACGTAAGTCTACCAGATACTCTGGATAAATTGGGCCACCTAGAGGTAACAACAAATGTATATACAAGAGGGCAGCCACAGTGCCTTAGTTCTACTGTCCCTTCATGCAGCCTTCCTGGCAGGGCACTGCTTTTCCTGGGCACTAGTCCTCCATCCTTCTGTGATAAGGTCACACGTTTGTGTTACAATGGGTGTGCTTGGCTACGGTGTCTCTTGTTTCTCTCTGTGGCTTCTACAGCAGGTCTAAATGAGTTTAAATCTCTTCTGGGAGCAGTACAACCAACAGATGTCTCATAGAGACACAGGACTGCCTTTTCCAAACAAGCCAGCATTTATTACTCAACTGGAATTTAAAATGTTATGGTCTTTAGGTTGTAATAGAAAAGGAAAACTTCCATGCTGGCAGCATCGTATATCCCCCCTGCTTGGCAAAGTCAGGATTTAATTCCTTGCACTTACTCTGCTCTCACTTAATGCAGCTTGCATGTGTTTCTGGCCTTAATATATCTTGTGTCTCAGACTCAGGTAGGAGTGGCTGAAATCCCTCCAAATGCCATGACAGTGGCAGCAGAAGTTAACCTGAAGGTGTAGGAAAGGTTCAGAGCCACACACACTTTATCATGGGGCTAAGAAATTACCTTGTCAGTGCTCTAAAATAATTTGTCACGAATAGTCTTGTTCCTTGTGAGAAACATCATTTCAGGTATCATGGCCTTTGCTGTCTATTGACAGGTAAGAGCATGCACATAGACAGTCATTAGTGGCTGGTAATAACTAGGTTGTAAGGTATCTTTTTATTGCCTGATAAGCTTTCCATGCATCTCACGGCTTGTGTGCCTGTATATCCATGATTTGTAACTCTCTAACGTAGGGTTGCTTGCTTAGCAATTCAATAAAAATTCTTTTTTGCTGTATTTTAACTTTTTAGTTAACTTGTTACCTCTACTTTGGATGAGGATAATTTGGTGGTCATCAACCATCCATCATATCTCTAGTCAGCTCTGTTCATCTACTGCCAGATATTAATAATGAATAATGGTATTAATAACTGGTATATGTTGCTTGTCCCCAGCATCTGTTCAGTCATAACAATAGGTCCGCATTCTCCACTCCTGGGAAGCACTGCTCTACCTGAAACATATGCATTTCAGAAGAAGACTGTAAAAAGCTGATACGGGCAGTTAAAAGTTCTTTTTTGTTTTCCTCTTCACAAAGGAAGGAAATGGAGAAGGAGCATGTAATGCATAACTCTGGGTGACAGTGTGAGTTGATTGGGTTTCATTATGTGAAGAGGCTGATGCTGAGAGGTATTACATTTGGAATGGGGTTCCAGTCTATTCTAAACATGAACGAATCTACACAAGTGGCCATCTCTGGTCAGAGTTTACTCCAAATAGTCAGATTCAGATTTTCTCATTTGTCTTAAGAGATCTCAGAGATCTTATATTAAAAAGTTTTTGTAATATGCCAGATATTTGGGTTTAAAAAGCAAGGGAAAAATAATGAGACTTGGGAACCATTTTTCTAGTGAAGCCAAGCTGTCTTTGAAACCAGACTTCATTCTAGTTTTCCACTTCTCTTCTTACACACAGTTTTGCAGATTTCCTTAGCTTATGTTTTGTGGGTTGAGGAAAGGTTTGTGAATTCACAGGCTGAGAAGAAACTGTTCTTGTAGCACTTGATTATACTTGCCTGTGTGGAAGGATTTTTGGAAGGGCAAAGGCATTCCCTTCATAGTTTGAAAACTGCTGTTTTATTTGATTCTGAACAAATGACTGATGGGGATGCATATGAATTTGCAAACCCCTCGCAATCAAAGCCTGTAAGGCTGGAATTTTTCTGGTAGCATATAGTGACAGGCAAGTTGGACTTTCTTTAGAAGTGCTTTTGTTTTGGATTACCAGTATATCACTGAAAACTCAGTTCTCTTACAATTAAATATTCTCCTGCATTGCAATTGGGTCTATTCTGGTTAAATCTATAATTGTATTTGGGAATTAAAAAAAATTCTGTTCAAGTTATTTCATCCATTCATTTTAAAAGGAGCAGATGTTTTCTATCTTAACGTTTACTCCATAGTTTCTAGGACATGATTTATTGCAAGAAACTACTTAAGCTGACTTTTTTAGTTAACTAAATATTGGTACCATATGTGAATGCTAGCACATCATAATTAATTGCAAATGGTGACCCTTTTGTTGACCTTAATTTTCCAGCATGCATACACATAATTGAATCAAACTGTTCTAGCAAGTAGCAATAAATAAATATGACCAGCTAAAATACTTATTTCCAATACTTATATATGATAGTACTACTTCTTTTTATTGAGGATTGGACTGGTTTGAATTACCTTCTGGAATCCAAAGTATTAAATAAGGGCAAAAAGAGGGAATCCAGTAGGTAACTCCATAGGCCTTCAAAAAATTAAGATTCATAAGTGGTAGACAATTACAAACTTGGTACCTATAGAAGTTCAGCTGTCTTCCTGACATTTTCAAGATCATGTAGAATACATTCATGTTGTAGAGCTCTAGTATGTAGTAACATTTTAAATATTTAGCATCTAGGAGTAGCTCATTATTGGGTATGTTTCGAAAAATCTGTTAGTTTACTAGTTACAGAATTCTGTGAGACTTGTATCTATGCTTTCTTCTCATGCTTTTTATTTTTGGTTAACTTTAGTCTCTTTGAAGTCAAATGTAGTTCTTCATAAGCCTCAGGCTTTATTTAGTCCGAACTCTTTATCTACCTTCATGGATTTCCTGTGAAGTCTGTAAAGCTCTAGAAGCTTAAATGACTTTGCGGTTTAGGTACATTGTTTATCCTTTGGAGCATCTTTTTATTGAAAAATCAAGTAATTTTAAATTAGATACATAAAATCCAAAAGACAGAGACAATACAAAACATACACATTTTTGAAGTGTAGAATAAGCACAGCACCCATGACTAACAGAAACAGCCACAGTACAGGTTAAAGATGGATCAGTGAGTGGTTCAGTATCAAACACAGTAGGATGAGGAATAGGACTGTTATTTGCAGAATTATAAAACTGAAGAAACAAAACTAGAACTATGCAGCTGAACCAGAAACTGGTGTACCTTTGGCTGGTGGAGTTTCTTCCACTTTGTAAAGCTCTAGAAGCTTAAATGACTTTGTGGATTGGGCTGATTGTACCTGGGAAAGAACTCCTTCCAGAACTATGTATCTGATTGTGAACTGGACTCAAACATAGTATTTGGGACTGAGGTCAAAAGCAGCCTGCTGTAGCTCTTTGTGTGATGCAGTCTGCTCCTCCCCATTCAGGATTTCAGGTTTTGATGCCTGTCTTGATGACAGAAAATTGCCTATGTACCATCTTTACAGGGTAAGGTAGTAGCAGCACAGTCCCTGTCACCTCCTTCATAGTCGAAAGCATATTGGTGTGGTTACTTGAATAAACCATGAGAGTTGTTCTTTTGTTTCAGTATGTTAGGAGTTGGGGTTTGAGGTGTTTTATCTGATTATGCTGCTGGTTTGTTTTTGTTTTTAAAGTTATGAAGTCAAAGCTGCTAAAGACGTGGAACGGTACAACAGAGAGGTCGAGAAAGCTATGGCACAGACAAAGCCCCAACCAAGGAAGGAGGCAGAAAAACAGAAACCTAAGCCGAAGACTTCCCCATCCAACCAGCAGAAGCAGAACCAGATGCTTGATGTTATATATGACGAGTTCGAACCTCAGGAGCCTTCAAAAATTGTGACAGTGCCTTTTTCTCTGAGTTCCTGTAGACGTCACCTTCAGAGACAGGAGAGAAATTATTCAGATGAACACAAGCTTCTCCTGATCCGTCGTCAGAGTTTTCCTGATGTCTGGATATTTGCTACAGAAAAAAAGCTAATGTTGCTGAATCCATACAGATTGGAGGAAGTCCTCCTACACAAAAGATTATTGATGAATCATAACCTTCCAGTAGAGAAACTGGACAAGCCAGTTGTATTAACAGACAGGTATTTGTACATTATTTCAAGCATCATTCGATAATATTTTACAGAAAACTCTGGTAAGGCCCTTGTTTCCTAATTCTGTTGTTATTTAGACATTTGTTTATCTATTTGAATAGATTGTTGTTTTGTGTTCTTTTGCCTAACAGTAATGAACAGGCCTAATCATACTCCAGTTGAAATAAGAATGTATTTTGACTGGTTTCATTGATGATACAGTAAATATAAATTTCTACCCCCAGAGAAAAATTAAATGCTACACATTTTCACAGCTTTGCTCTAGGTAACTTCCCCTGTGCGTCACGTAATCATTATTATTATTATATGCCTGAATTTTGTCTCTCTTTAAGATACGTGAGTAATTGCGATTTTGGTTCTTTAAGCAAATTACTCTTTCAGAATACTTTTAGAAATCTTGATTGCTTTTCATCACTTCTATTTTTCTGTATTTTTCTCAGAGTTTTAATTTTCAAATTGGGGATTTTGACTTTTAACCCTTTGGGAATTGTTGTGGTTTGTTTTCCAGTCTTCTTGGTGGATCTGAGTATATGGCTGCTCTTTATAAAATGCAGCAGGATTGCCAGAGTTTCAGTGGATCAGGTTATTTGTCAGATCCAAGAATTGTAGCAAATGGATTCCAGATAAAAGTGATAGAAGGTATGATGGTTTAAAAATCTTCTTTCTTCTTATTTCACTATTTAAATGATTGTTAATGTAGATTATGTTATTCTACATCACTTTATCATTTAAAGCACTAACATCCTGTTTTCCGTAACATGGAGATTTTATTACTTGGCAAAGAATGTCATCCACATAAAACACTGTGAATGGAAACTGATAGCTGAACAGAAAACTTTATTACTGTTACAAATAATGCTCTGAAATTTATTTTTTCCCCTCAAAATGCTAGATGTTGATATCCTTAATTGCCATTCTGACAGAATTTAGATTAAACTGAGGGTCTTCCTTATTCTTAGCAGCTTCTTTCAAGATGATACTTGGAGAAGCTTCTGCAAATACATGCTTAAACAACTCTGCTGTTGAGCAGTTGAGGAGGTCCAGTAAGGAGCTGGATCTGGTTCTTGACCAACTTTCATATCAGGGTTGTAGCAGAGCCCAAAAGAGCCAGTAAAGTGAGACAGGGTCATCGTCAAACTTTGAGTTTCATCTGAACTTTTTTTTGAGACGGCTTACTTTTCAATGCCTGTGTTGATCACAGAACAAATCCATTTCATAAAGCAATCTTTTACTTTAGCAAGAGATATCAAATGTTTATACATTTTTCTGAAGAATGTTCCATAGACTTGCTGTTGAAAACCCAGGGGCAACCCACCCAGGATTCATTCTGCAGACCAGGATTTCTCTAGCAGAATTCCAAAAAAAGCAAACATCTTTGGGGTAGTACCTAGCTGACAGCTCTGAGACAGATTCACTATAAGAGCTGTTAGAAATGCTATAGCTTCATGTGTTGCAGATCTGCACATATGTACAGTGATGACAGATCTGCTGTAACATATGGGATCTTTTAAGGGTAGGTACAAAAAAGGGATATGGAGCAACTCTTTCACTCAGTGGCTGGTTCATCGGAAGAACCAAGCCTGAGCTGCTTTCTTAACAAAATCATGCACAGCAAAAAAAAAGGAAACAGTTCTGACCGGCTGAATCCCTAGATAAACAGCAAAAACTTTGTAGAAGATGTGTTTGTGGTGATAATCTTAGATTGAATTATTAGGGGAATAAATTTTATATTATAAGAGGCAGCTCCTAAAAGGTCTATTCAGTCTAACAAAGGAAAAACTGAGGAGGTCTGTAACAAATATGGGAGGAAGGGATTGTTGCTTAGCATTTTTGCTCACATCCTTTTTTCTTTTCCCCACTTCCTGATAATCCTAAATTTGCTCAAAATCTAATTAATGTAAACTGGATATGAATACATTGAATGTGAAAATTTGAAGATAGCTTCTAGGCAACAACAGAAGAGAATGGTTGACTGGTCTTGTGGTGCTGGACATGGGAAACTAGTTTTAAGATAGCTTGGTTAGCTTAAGAGCAGAATTGTACAATAAAACAGCAAAAGAATTGACACAGTAATGAGGAAGTAGTAACTGTCTTCCAATCCTGTCTTCATAAGTATGTAAAATTAAGGAAATTCAATCTTGTGAGGAAACTCTTCTAATTTGGTTTAGAGTTAGTGAAAGTAATTGGTGAAATAATAGTGTTTTATATGCACTGTGCAGGTCAATATACCATGGTCGTGGACTCGATCAGTACCATACAGCTAGTCCATACAAAGAATGGGAATCTAATTCAGTTCTCTGTCTCAGTCTTATATTTTAACTGCTTGAGTGAAATGTTAATAACATCTGAGTCTTGTCAGTCATGTTTATAAGGTTCTGCTGATGACATTATAGTAGTTACAGCCTCTGTTATTAAAAGAGCATGCCATTTCAGATGATGGTAGAAATACCAGCAAACAAGTGGAATTTCTCCCAGACTTTTTTCCAGATGACCTAAGGACTTTTTTTTTTAATTTTTAAAAATTTATTCTTGAAATTGGCTGTCTTCTACAAAAAATCATTAAAGCTGATTTTTAGTAATACAGGTGTTAATTACTAACAGTCCTTAAATCCCTTTTTCAATATGCAGTTTGAGGTTATTTAATTTACAGATCCTTGTTGTACAGTCTTTACAGAAAGTGACCTGCAGATCAGGAGTGATCTGTCCAATTTACACCTGACTATTCTATAGGATTTCTCAACTTTTAGAGGTCATAAAACTTTCTTCACCATTCTTATAGAAGCATAATTGTTTCATTTGCTGTCTGAATTCAGTGTCTATTTTTGCAGTCTTTTGAAACTCAGACACAACCTGAAAGGGAGGCATTCAGATTTTGTTGAACTAGGAGTTGCCTCAGTGTCAAGGTTTTGTTTTTTCAGTTTTGTTTGTTCAGGACATGTTAATTTTTTTGTACAGGGGCAGCCACTTTGTATGGTGGATGGTCAAGTCAGCTTGCTGTACAGAAGTGTATAGAATGCACATGTGTATTTACCCCATGGTAGCTGGAGAATTTCAGCTTAGCAGCATCCAGAGGACCACACCTGAACCCTATTCTCTGTGCACATACCTTAACTCATTTTTTCCCAACTTCTTGGGTGAATTGGATTGGTCCTACTATTTGCTGTCTCAAAACTAACAGTCAACTCTTTCTCAGCATCAAGGTCTGCTTAAGTATGCTTGAAGGTCTGAGCTTTCCTTTGGGATTTAAATCCTGACATGGTCATATTAGACGGCACTTTCTGACTGCTAGCTGATTTCTTATTAATGGCCCCTGGTGCATGGCTTCCTTTTCCATCCTGGGTTAAGAGTTTTGCTTTATGTGTTAGAGAATTTCCTTTTCTGAAAGAGGTGTCCTCTTTTATGTCACAAGCAGAGGTTCCATTTCTTTAGCTTTAAATTCGAATGTGGAGGTGGTATTTCTGGTAAATTCTTCATTCAAGATAACAAGCCTTTCTGTTGATCCATGTGGCAAGTCTGTCTTGCCATCAGTAGCTCTAAGATACCTTCCAAAACAAGAACAAAGGAGACTTAAATCCTCCAATTCAATGTCTGGCAGTTTTGACCGCAGAAGAAGAGGCTTTCCTTGGCTGATGGTGATCTCTGAAGAGGACTGTCAGACTAGTAGGTTGCATTGCTTATTTATTTGCGTTTCCACACATACTCTGCCAAAGGAGGAGAGAAGGACCCTAAGTATTTCTGCCTATTATCTTATATGAGGTGTACTCATAATATGCAGATACTAACTTTGAACACAAGACCTCTTGCTTTGTTATTGAGCACCTCCCAAGGACTGTTGCCTAGGTAAGTATCATGATTTCAATATATATATATGTGTATATATATAGTCATTCCTTCTTTCCTCTTGGTTTGGGGAGTGTTTTATGGAACTGATTGTTTATTTACTAACAAGCAAATCTGAACAGTTACCCTGATTTGAAAGGTGACTTTGGTAATTACCTTTTTATATTGGGCTTGTATCTCAGCTGCTCTTTCTTTTAAGATGCTTCTTGACAGTTTCACTTCCTACCTTTTGGCAACTTACAGCACTAAGGAGCTATTTAAAAACATTTTTATTCTGATAGTTTCTTACTTGAAAAAAAAACACCACAAAACCATCATATAGTATTGTTTTATCCTTATTTGGATGACTTGTCTGTGAGGAACAACTTCTCTCATAGGATAAAAAAATAAATATCATTACTCTTGCACTAAGTTTATTAGATCTTGGGATTAGTACCTGGATATTTAATCTTCCTCTCTCATTATGGTTGCAATTCACAAAAATAAAACTATACTATACTATTTCATGGCCAAGACCTTTTAGCTAGAGGGGTGGTTCTGAACTTTAGTTACTCTTAATAACCTACCAGAGTCTTTCTCACAGGCATAGCACAGACATGCTCACTCTGAACCCCATGGCACCATGTGACACCAGATGCAAAAGCAGGCATTCCGCTTCTTCTGGAAGACTGGGATGTCGTGCCAGTATTCAGCTGCAAAATATGATCTCTCTCCTAAGTCATGCCTTCTATTCTCTTTGTTTTGTCAGGTGCTAAACAACATCTGTGTAGTAATGCCATTTTGTTCCCCTTCTCACTCTTTTCCCTCTTGCAATCCGCCTGCTTAATTGCAGACACTTTCTGACGGAGGAGCTCATTCTGGTGATTCTGATGTGAGCCCACAGATAGCAAAACTGATGTACTTGACCTCAACTTAAGCATTGCCAGTACCATTAGCTGATCAGTGGTCAAGGCAGTTTTAATTCCAGAACGTTGTGTCTGTTTGGAAACTCACAAGTCTGCCCTTACTTACCTGATTTTTGCCGCTGCATGTGGGCAGTACCTACCAGCTTAGAGTGAGGATGTTGAACTGCTCTTAGAGTTAGAATTGGGCTGGGTTTTTTCAATTAGAGATGGTAATTTGATCTTAGTAACAGAAAACTATCAACTATTGACTTACTAGATGTATTTGCTTAAATGGTCAAATTTTCATTTGTGTCAACCTTACATCTCCAATATGTTTTTCTTGGACTATTCCTAGCAGGTTTTAGAAAGATCTAATTAGGCCTTTTCTTCCTAAAAATTACTTGATTTCACATGGAGTTTCATTCTTGTTCTGTTATTTTGGCGGGAAAACTGTTGGAACTTCTGGCAATGTTTTCCTTTTTAACCAGTGCAGCTTTCAGATAGTTAATTTTACAAGAGTGTGAGAGTTTCAGGCCTCAATTGCTTATTGTTTCATTTGAGGATAAGTCACTCTTTTGAAAGCTGTCCTGTTGTAAGACAGAAATGTAATTTACCTTTGCTCCATATTATTCATAGGCTTTGTGTGATTGCAGCCAGCATTGTCCCAAGAATCCTAGAACTTGGACATGCCCTATCTTCTTGTTTTGGTAGACTTAAGATCTTTTGTAATGTATCCTTGTTTCACTTTATATTGACTGCTCAGCCGTCTTAAGGGGTTTTCAACTAGATTTTTCTCTGGATAGCTGACAGTGAAAAACATGTTATGAAATAGCTCAGAAAAAGCTTCTTGCTGTCAGCATGTCAGTTAGGAAAATCAATGGTTTCTTTGTGGAACGTGCCAGTTGTGATTTGCAAAGCTGTGACGCTGAGCTCCAGTCCATCTGCCCCTGCCCTCCCGCCCCCTCATGTTCTGGCCTCACTGAGGCTTCAAGTGATGCTACCCTTTGGGAGAGCAGTGTGTTTGCTTTTACTTAACTCTGTATTCTGGGACCTGCCAGGCATTTGTTTGCTGGGCATAGGTTGCGATGACCCCTGCATACAGAGAAGCATTTCAAGAAGTAAGATGGATTACTTTCCATCCGGTTCTTCTTAAGATGTGTTTGTTGTATCTGCCTTCACAGCACATCTGTCTGTTTCCCTCCAGGAAAGTCCAAGAGAGAGAGATGAATTCTTAGCTGAAAAGGAGCTGAGAGCAAAGATCACTTCTTACCTGCTTTTGTAACAATGTTGGGCCTTGGGCCATGCTCCAAAGCAGGCTTTTAGGGTAGAATTGTCTGCCTGATAGAATATGTGTACCCAACATACGTATATACAAAGAATGTGCTTACAAGGCTTAAAGGAGCTGGAATAGGTAAATAACCCATCTTCCTTGATAATACAAGCTACCTCAGCTCTCATAACTGACCAGTGGAAAATCATGCTGCTACTTAATTTCAGTTTTATTTTGACCATAGAGTGGAAGATAGTCATATAGTGTCACCTAATCTAGGTGGCAGCTGGAAAGAGAACAGTTTTTCCTTTCCATCAAGAAGGAATTATCCAAAGACAGTTGTGAATGCTTTGTTTGGAAAGAGAGAAAGAATTTTTAGCAATGAGAAATCCACATTTTTAGTCAATTGAAAGCTAGTTTATTTGTTCGTGGAAATATTTTCCTTGGAAGTTGCAAAGCATTTCATAGAAACTGTCATGGAAACTGCTTGAAGCCTGCTGTTGGAATACTCAAAAATCTTAATGTGTTGGTTTTTTTTTTTAATTTACAAGTATCTGCTTATATAGTCAAATGTTGCAAAGACTTACAGGTAAATACATGTTAATCAGTATGCAGTGTACTGCTTTTCAGTCTAAAGAATGCAAGCAAAAAAGGAGAATGACACAGAAATACCAAAGAATACCACTTCTCTTAGCCAGGATTTGTATTGTTCATTTTTCTGTTAAACTCTTCAAAGCCTCCTGTGACTTTCATAATAATGAGCAGTATGGTGAAGGCAAATCTGGCTGTTGAAATTTGCAGACAGTAAAATCGCTGTTGGTAAAGGTGAAGAGAATTGAACATCAGCAGTCTCATTAACAAGGATTGGATCTAGATAATCTTTAAGGTCCCTTTCAACCCTGGCCTTTTTATGATTTAGAAGTGGGGGAAATAGTTTTGCAAATCCAAAACCTCACCATCATGCACTACAAATTCAAGTTTTTAAACTGGAAATCTTAACACTTGAAATTTAAGACATTTTTCTGTCCTGCCTTTGTTTAGCTTATATAGAGGTAATTATTGAAAGGTTGTCAAACACAAAGTTCTCATTTTAGGAAGAAAGCAGCATAATCAAATGGTCTGAAACAGTTACCCAAATCTAGTCTTTCATTAAAGTAAAATTGGGATAAAAATTAAGATAAAAGAGCTGGAGGAAATAAAAAGCTGACTTTATATTTTGCTCCTTCCTCTTTCTGGCAGCCTTTCCTATGGGGAAATACTGGCATAGGACATCATCTTCTCTCAGCTTAATAACTGGTGAACTATCAGATAGTTTAACATTTTGCTTTAAGCTGAATTTGATCACAGGCTTTCAGCAGTACATAAAAAATGTCTTGTTTTTCCTGGCCACGATTAGGGAAAATCGGCTTGAAAAGAGAGGGAAGACAGTGCTGAGTGAAAAAGGAAGTAAAATTTCAAATGTAAAGCACTGTTAGATGTGTAGCTGGAAGGAGGTTGTGATTTTTTTTATGGGGGGGGGGGTTTCCCTATATCAAATTCCCACTCTAGTCAAAGTATTACATGCTATGCAGCTTAAAGAGATGCAAGGACATTACATACCTGGTGACACATGGGTATTTAGAAAAAAATTCAGCCTGCTCAGTCCTCCTCTTCATCTTCATCTGCTCTTATTTAATGACTGTCAAATAAATAGTGCTTGATTATGGGTAATGGTCTGATGTACTAGCTAATGAAAGTACATTGTGTTATCTTATCTTGCATACTTTCTCTCACTTCTGATGAGTGATCACTAATCATGGTTTGTTAGTTTAATCCACTTTGTAGCAACCTTATTTGTCTCTAGCTTTTTTGACTTTACAAAAACCATTTGTGACCCAGGCTGAATGTAATTTTTCCTACCTGGGGCCAATACCCAAGTGAGGGTTTATTTTCATTATGAATTGTATTCTTTTGTGCTCTCCCTGTGAAGCTCTTTACATTTTAGGTTTGTAGAGGAGGAGAAGGGAAGGTAGCCATGTGAGCTGGGTTGAGATTTTTGTGCACCCAATATGAATGAGAGGCTGAGCTCTGGAGAACTGCATGAGAATACGTGAGACAGACCCCTAGAGAACTTGCTTCTGGGAGGGGGAGTCGAGTTAGCTGTACAGTAACAATTTCATCAAAACCTTTTGCAAGTAGTCTGAATAATAAGTGAAATCTCTTGCATGTGAAAGATTGAATAGGTATTTTGTTGGGAAGGTTGTTTAAATGTTTAATTCATAATTCCTATTCAGAGTTGTTCCTGCTGCAGCAGTGGTACCATGTGAATGAAGTGTGTCACAGAGCCTTGAATTATTTGGGGTTGAGTTCTTCCTCTGCTGTGGTACGAGAAACAATTGTTTATTTCAGTAAAAGCTGAAATTGTTATGATAACATCTGAACTCTACAGAGGTACAAACCAATTACATAGAAAACAGTGGCAATACTCAGTTTAAATTTGTTTCAAATTAAATTGTATTTTATTAGTAGCTTCTACTTTCAATTTCGTGTTCTGTTTCATTGAAGCCATAGAATTATGCTGCAATATGCTGGAAATGCTGCAAAATGTTGTAAGCATTTAGCCAGTACCAGATAGGATTTGAATTAAAATAACCTGAAAAAGGTTTTAAGTGAATATGCACATATCATAATGAAAAATTGGACAAATATATTCTTTGTGCTCCATGGAAGAAGCAAAGTTTCCTAGTTGTATTGAATTTGTGAGACTGATCTACTAAGTGATTTTACATCTTTACATCTTTAACTTTATCTGAATTGCTCCAGCATAGAACTCAAATGTTTGGTTTTGTATTTTCAGGTGCTTCAGTGGCAGAAAGTCATCTGGAAATAGAAGGGATGGCAACTTGTGTGCCATATTACGGTATTTCTGATTTGAAAGAAATTCTGAGTGCAATAGTTGTTGGAAATGCAAAGGAAGTATATGAATGTAGGCCTCTCAAAGTAATAAATTACTTGGAGGTAAGAGATGTTTACTTTTAAGTACTGGCCATCTCAGCTTATAATAAATCCTTAAACAGTCTGAAAATCTTCAGTTTTTTGTATCAATTAATGTACTTCTATTCTAAACAGAAGTTACTTTTGAAAAGGAGTATAATAATTTTCAGTTAAAGAAGAAAAGTTCCTATGATGCATTCAAACAAATGGTGGAGATAGATAACTGGAAACTTTTTGCCAGAAGAAAAGCTGTCACTGCAATTCAGGCACTGAAATAAAAAAAATGAAGTCTTGCATATGGTGAACTCCCTATGCCTCTGGCAAAGCTTGAATTTAGTTAAAACTTCACTAACTTCTGCAGATACATGCAATTAAAGGAAGCACACACTGATGAACAACAAGTCTTGTGAGTCCACTCTGATCAATGGCACAGCTCCTTGCTGTGGTGCACTTGACAGAGAGGAAACCACGTGTCCCTTCACAAGCAGTCAGCATTATTAGTTGCCAGAAATATGGTAACTGAGTAAAAAAATCTTTAATCTGTTTTCTTACAGAAGTTACTATGGAACAGTTGGAACTAGGATGACTAGTGTTAGTATTTGCTGTGCAAATAGATAAAATTGTCTATTCAATGGGCGTGAAGTTTCAGAGATAATTAGTATATGTGGTACTATTTAAAGCTGGAGTAACTAGCAGTAGTAGTTTTCTATCACTTCCTGCCTAGATGCTTAGCTAATGCTATTTTTAATCCCAATTCTTAAGACCTCTCTTCAAAAGGTTACCAAAATCTTTAAGTCTCTTCTTACTTAAGCATTTGCTAACACGCTTTCCTGGATTGGGCTTCTTCAAAATGGCGCTTAGACATTTGTGCAGAATATGTGTTTTATCTTTTAAAAATCTGTTATACAAATCTTTTCTTGTATTTCTGAGACAGTTTATAACTGCCTTTGGAGCAAGTGATTCTGTTTTGTACTACTGAACAATCTCATGCACTCATGAAAGAAGCTTAGCAAAGGGATGATGTAAGTCTTGAAACAGGGATGGTTTGCATCTTGCTTTATTTCCTCTACTAAAAATACCGATCAGCGAAATGGAGTGGGATTGAGTTGGTTGTTTATATATATACACACACACACACAAAAAGTGTGTTTATGTCTGTATACAGATAAAGACATAGCTGTACACACACAGATACATCTAAATGTATATAGCAAGAAATCATCAAGGCAAGGCTTATGAAGAGCAATGTTTATTCTGTGAGGAACTGTCAGAAAGAAGATGCATGTGCAGTGGTAACAGTAACTGGAAATGCATATTTAACTAGGACATATATGGCTTGCCATCATGAAAAAAACCACTATGAAAATAAACACTGAGTTCTTTCAGCATTCTGGGGGGAAAGCACTGGAAATGCCATTTACTGTCATGCAACTATCGTAAGTTTCATGTTTGAACAGGCAACAGGTCTGTTGCTTTTGCCCTCTTTTTGTATACTCAGAAGAAAAGAATAGGGAAATGCTTAAAGCAGCAGCCTTCCTAGGTAGAGAATAGTCCACAGTGATTGGTTTTCCACTTGGAAGAGTGGGAGAAAATCCCAAACAAAATTAGAAGATTCCCATTAAAACATTATGGATGCTGCTTCAGGTTTCTACACTCTGAAGTGATACTATATGCCACATCCATTTCTGTCTAGGCAACACTACTAAAGTACAGGAGAGAAGGAAATGGCAGGAAT